AAAGGACGGGAGGCCAAAATAGACTTTAAGCGGGTAGACTTAACTAGAAGGAGGTTATGTGATTGGTGGCTAAAGTCAAGGCCCGAGTGAAAATAAACTCTTCACTGCAAAGTACGAATCCTCAAACTCTTTTTTTTAAGGAAAAAAAATATAGTTTTTGGTTCATTAGGTATTACGGCTTAGTGGTGCTAGCCACCGCCCGATCTAAAGGGTACAGCCATATCCATCCATCCATGAACGAGGCTCATTTGACCGACAGTGCCTGCAATTTCAGGTGTTCGCCAGTCTTCGTTGTCGAGTTTTCACTGCAGACAAACCTTGAGTATGCGCTCGATGTGTTTGTACTCGTTCCTGCGAGCAGTACAAAGTTAAGATACGTACGTTTTTTAAAAGACTTCGTTAAAAAAGTTTGTTTTGCTGCAGCCGGTGTGGTTACGTGAATCGAATGAGGCAGCCCAAACTCCTTTCGCATTTCCTGCAGATTGAATGCCAGAGTGCTGAATTGTTTTGTCACTTTTACGGCCTTTTCATGAGCTATCACGGCGGTTCACCTTGTTATGCCTTGCCGGCTGTTTCGAAAGTACTTGGCCACAGTGAGCTGGGCTATTTTGTGTGTGAGTGTGTGCGCGCGTGTTGTTTCACGGCGCGTGTGCTTGCGTGGGCGTTCGCTGCGCACGTGTGAATGTTACGTGGTGTGCGTGGGGGTTCGCGCGGACGTGCGTGTGTGTGTGTGGGTGTGTGCATGCGTATGTGAATGGGTTCGCGGCGCGTGTTTATGTGAGTGTGTGTAGGTTCCCACGTGCGTGCGTGCGTGTGTGCGTGCGCATGTGGGTGGGTCCGCGGTGCGTGTTAATGTGTGTGTGTGTGTAGGTTCACACGCGTGCGCTTTGAATGTGTGTGCGTGCGCGTGTGTGCGAGACAGAGTGAGAGAGAGCAGCGTAATATCGATAAGCGCTCAAGTGTTGTTTATAGGCAGGTGATTGCAATTGTTGAAAGCTCTAAGCTAGTCTTCCGCGTGAACGAAGCGACCACGCGTACGAAGCGACAATTTTTTCTGGACTCTTGGTTTACTATCACGTATATGTTGCAGGTGTGCTTAGCGGTCTTACGTAGCTATCGCAATTTCGCTGCCTCATTATTTGCTGTGAGTGAAAATTACACGGTTTTCTGGCGTGCATTACACACCGCTGTCCGCTCTGCTTCTGTATTTTTTCAGAAGAATGTATTGCAGCATGCCTTTCTGCAAGTCGGACAGGAAAAGAAAGTTCGGAATAAGTTTTCATGAATTTCCTACGAACGATGATTGTCGCCAAGCGTGGCTGAAGACGATATCAAAAAAAGATTTTGTCCCAAATGACAAATCATCGAGCAGTGTCGTCTGCAGCCTTCATTTTGCGAATTCAGACTACACTTTGGGGTCCACAAAGCTTCACCGCCTCAAACGGGATGCTGTTCCGAGCGTATTTTCGGGATACCCAACCTACATGCACCCGCAAAAACCACCAAAACGGCGTAAATTGGAGCGAAAGGTACAGGACTTCCCTTCAGACAAAAAAAAAAGGCATCAAGTTTATCAAGTTGCCATGCCAAAATGACTGGTTCAGCCTGTGACAGTGCAACCACCCCAGGCCATTCGTCAAATTCTGATGGCTTGTTGCCATCAGTCCCTGAAGAAAATACAGAGGCGAGTTTTCAAGGTGCGGGCCATGACGGAGGCCATCTGCCGCAGACTTCTGTAAGCCATGTGTCAATATTTAGCCCCAAGGAGGATCAGGTGGCTATAGGGGCGAAAACAAGTGCACAAGATGCAGTTGGTGAACTGCAGCGGCCTACTAACTCAGTTGAATGTTCAGCGCAAACTTGTGATGAATTCCTTCCACGCAGGCAGTCAGATGCAAGGGTAATCAACAGAATGAGGGTGCAATTGTTTAGAAAAGCAGATACTGTAAGGAGACTGCAGCGAGAAAACAGCCGCCTAAAAAAGAAGCTCAGTGGTTATGAGAACAACACCGTCCACTCGGCAATCAGAAAATGCTTGGAGAAGGTTGGCACGGCCCAGTTCTGCCTAGAAGATTGCTTAGTGGAGCAGATCACCAATGCAACAAGGCAACGACCCGCATGGTCGCCAGACTTTGTGCGGGAATGTGTACTATTGTACTACTTGTCCCCCAAGGCGTACCGTTACATACGCAACCGAGGCTTGCTTAAACTGCCGTCGAAAAACACCCTCCTTCGCTATGTCGGGAAGTCGAACGGTGAAAGTGGGGTCACACCACTAATGAAGGAACGCTTAAGGCAAGAGGTGGGCAACCTGAAAGAGCAAGCCCGGCTTTGCTCAATTATTGTAGATGAGATGTCCATCAGCTCCAAATACATATATGATCGCAAAATGGATTGCTTTTTCGGGCAACAAACGGCGAAAGAAAACAGTGGAGCAGCAGAGAACACCAGCAACATCATGCTTGCCAACAAGGTGCTATGTTTTGTTGCTACAGGATTGTCCACAGCATACAGGATACCTTGCGGCTTCTTCTTCATGAACCGTCTAAGTGGCAAGCTTTTGTACCATCTTACAAAAGAGGTAACCTCTGAAGTTGAAAAGTGTGGTATGTGTGTGCTCCGGATTGTCACAGATAACCACAAAATTAATGTTACGATGATGCGTCACCTGGGGAACGGCTCACTCAAGCCTGTTGTCACTCAAGCCTGTTGTCACTCATTCATGTGACCCAGAAAGAAGCTTATTTCTGTCATTTGACCAGTGCCATATTATAAAAAATGTGCGAAGCCTTCTGCTTGAGGGGGAGATGACAGACGGAAGCCAACCAATAACGGGACAGTTTGTCAAGCAGCTGTATGAGCTACAAAAGAACGAGGTTGTCAAACCAGTTCGCTTCCTCACGCAGAAGCACGTAGAACCAATGAACTTTGAGAAGATGCACGTAGGCAGAGCAGTGCAGCTATTTTCAGACGATGTCATCTCGGCACTTTCCTTTTTGAAGGAATACCCGAGTCGCCACCCTCAGGCAGAGAAGTTCAGAAATGCAGAGGCGACAATCTTGTTCATGAAGATGATGCAAAAGTGGTTCGCCATCCACAATGTAGCAAACCGAACTGCGCATGTGCACATGAGACAGCCTGACCAGATGCACTTCTTTTGCACGACTGACCAACGCCTACAGTGGTTGGAAAAGGACTTTCCAGACTACCTCGAGGCTCTCAACAATGCCTGTAAAAGGAGTGGGAAGAAGTTTATAAGCGCAGAGACTTATGAAGCTATTTTGCTGACGAGCAAGTCTACGGTTTTGTGTGTAAAGTTCCTTCTCGAGAGCGGTTTCTTTTATGCTTTGACGAGGAACCTCTCAAGCGACCCTGTGGAACTCCTCTTCAGTTCTCTACGGCAAATGGCCGGTGGCAATGACTGCCTGGATGCAAGAGCCATGACGTTCAGCCTGGAGAGGATCTTGAGGACTGGCGACCTCTGCCCATCCCAGTCTTCAAACGTCGAGAACGGGCAGGCTGTCTTGAGGTAGGTACACGTGATCTGATGCTTTAGGGCAAGTGCTCATAGTTGGGCAGGTTGCCTTTGCTTTTAACAGGACCCCCATAATTTTTCATGGCCTCACACAACGCATAGCACGCGTTGTGTGCAGCTACTACTGTTGTAGCCTGCCTACTGATTGAGATTGTTGTGTTTGAGCCACGTGAGCACTCAATGTCATCTGCTCATATAGACAATGTTTCAGGAGTATAGAGGACTGCTGTTCACAAGTGATTGCGTTTATTTTACGTGTGTTTTGCAGCATGCATGGCGCTTCCATGAGCGTGACGTCCCCTGTACTGGATGTTCCAGCTGAAGCAACAGCACAAGCTGCCACACTTGTTTCGACTGAGACACCTCAAGTTGCCCTAGCCAGGTATGCCGCATCAAATGTTTTTCAAGACTTAATGCTTGCTTGCCTGGCTGTTCTTCTTTTCCAGCCAGCAGCCTTTTTTCTAATACATGTTTTGCACATCTTTTTTAGTTGCACTGTACCTGAAGATGTTGTGATGGAAATCGACGGGCTGTTTACACCACTGAAAGCACTGCCTCGTAAGTAGATGAGTAGAGGCTCATTGGAGTATTATTAAATGTAAGATAAAACAAAAAGCCACCATCTTCACTTGCTTTATCTGAAGGTTATCTGCCGATTGTTAGAAACGCAACAAAATTTATGTTGATGAGGGCTGGGTGGAAACAGTGATGCATTTGCATTACACACAAGATCTGTCTTTATGGGCTGTCTAAAATTTGCTCTGTTTACATTACTGCCAAACACAATTTTTATGCTCTCACTGGATACTTTTTATTCTGGTGTTTCTTTTTATATCTGCTTATTTTCTTTTTCAGTGCAGCGCCCACCGTCAACCATAGTGAATGCTAGCATTGCTTACATAGCTGGGTTTGTGGCAAAAGCAGTCGAGGAGCGGAGAACATGTACCTTCTGCCCTTCCCTCCATCAATCAGATGGATTCAGTCCTGTGCTAATGGGGCTAATTAGCCTGAAGTCAAGGGGTGGCCTAACTTTCCCAAAGCCTGAATTTGTCATGGTACTTGTGACCATTAAGAAGGCTGTTGACATTGCCCTGCCACACATAAAAAAGAGCAATGTACGTCAGCAACTGGCTGAACTGATTTTGCCTCACCTTGAATAGTGCCCCCTTTTTGTATGCCCGGCAAGAGATGAGCATGGTGCGAGCACAATGTCAGTGGTCTTCGACAAGTTTATTAAGCCACTCTTGTCCAATGTCGGTGCGGCTGTGACAGACAGGGCAGCTTACCGGAAAAAAGCTTGCATGTAAGCCACTGTACCTGAAAGTGCTGCGCGTGTAAACTTGTGCAACGCATCAAAAACATGGTGCATACTATGTGCCTCTGTTTTTGGGTTGTTTCTGTAAATGAAGTCTTATGTATAAACTTGTATGTAAGTCACTACTCTGCAATGTGCTCCGTGAACAGAATTGTGCAATGAAGAAAAACATGCTGCAAACCGTCCTTTTTTTTTTTCTTGCTGTAAATAAAGTATCATGCATCCTGGAATGAGTTTGTTTGTCCTCTTTTCTAGATGTAGCTTCGGTGCATTAGCCTCCAATGTTTAGGGCAACCGCGGTAAAAATTTTCTGCTGAGTTCAAGGACGCGGGTTTGACTCGCGGCCGCTTTTCTGCTGGAGGCGAAAGCGAAAGCGGTCCGTGTCTTCCAGATTTCGGCGCTCGTTAAAAATCCCCAGGCGTATGGGCGCCGAGGGGAGGGTGTGCAAAAAAAGGCACTTGCTCCCCCCTACCCCCCCCCCCCCCCAAATCATTTTAACACTTTACCTCATGCCCTCTCCCTTCCTTTTCCTTCGCGCAACAATAGATTTGCCCCCTCAAGGTAAAATCCTGCCGGCGCCCATAACCAGGTGGTCACAATTAATCCGGCACCCTCTACTACGCTGTGCCTCATCGCCTATGTAGCGTCGACGCGTTAAACCTCATAATCAAAATTGACCCAGTTCCAGCCAGGCAACTTCAACGGTAAGCATTGCAGGAAGTTTGTCTTACCCAACACTGGATTGTGACAACGCTTTGTAAAACACCTGCGCGCCGTGAAAGATTACACTCCACTTAACAATTTTTCTCTTAAATGAATGCGAACAAAAAAAAAATTGATATCTTTGGTACACACAAAAAAAAGTGGCACTGCGCTCTTTCTTTGTATCACGCGCTCTTTCACGTACTAAAATAACAAATACAAGCTTTCCAGAAATAAAACAAGACGGCTTATCTTTTTTTAAAAATGCGTGACCTTGAGCAGTGGGAGTCTGCGCTGACCAGCTCGGCGACGGAGCATCAAATCGCCCTGATGCAACGAGCCCTGCATTCGGCGCAGGATCGCGGCCTCCTGGAAGTAGGAGGCTGACGTCCCTTTCCAGCCCCCTTGGCTGCTCAATAAAATGTTTTTGCCACCACCACCACCACAAAAATGAAAACTACTGATGTGCAATGAATTCACTTACGCTTCACAGCGGCCCTAGTCTGCGTCAAAAATTAAACGGCTAAATGGCACCCGTAACTACTTCTATCTACTGCATCGATGAGCGGTTGTAATTTTTTTATTAAGCGTCTCACACAGGCTGCGAAGGCTGAGTTTGGAAGTGTTTCGGTTCCCCCGGTGGCACGAACCTTTTCGAGGCAAAAGTACAGTCTAGTACACTGTAGCAAAAGCGTTCGGTTCACCCAATAGCCGCTTAAAACCGGCTTGACTTGGCTTAAAATGTATGAGTAGATAGCGCTAGAATCGGTGTGGTGGAAAACATTTTTCAGACGATTTGGGCGTTCTTTATTCTGTGGTTCAGGTAGAGTTCCTCACTAGCTTGTGACACACAGTCTGTGGCGGGTTCATCGTATTCTAGTCGTGTTGTTTTTTTCTCCGATGTCGGTGTTGGATTGGACTGTAATCTGTTTGAAATGGCGAGAACCGCCTCTGCCCGTGGGGTCGTGGTCGCTTTCTGTTGTTAGAAAGTGATTCATACGCAAGTCGCTGCCGCTTTTCTTAATTCCTGTGATGTCACCGTGTTCAGGGGCTTCTTATCCGTGTTTATCGAGTAGTTAACGTCATTCGCCCGAAGCACAGAACACCTACCACCCCGAAGTGTTTGCCACCAAATCTACAAGCAATGATAACGAGCATAAAATAAAGGCCTTTGGAATCGCGATTTGTGAATGTTGGTCTGACGCATGTATTACGCGGATGTGTGGTAGGTTCATGCGTGTTGCTTGAGGACCGATCATACAGCTGGTGTCACTTGGGAGGAAGTATATACTGCGCCAACGCTTTCGTTGAAGCTTGTTCTTGCGTAAGTGCGCGAGATAGGTACGGAATACACAAGTTGGAATTAGAGATTGTTCTTGTCCGAGTGGCTTTATTAAGCAGTCGCAGATGATGACAATTTGTTTGCTTAGCAGAGTGTGTTTAGATTGGGGTAACCAACAGTGAAGGTAGTTGTGTGTGGGTGAGGAAATTAGTTTTCTTTGTTGCGGTGCCTTCCAAACAAATCCGTTATTTCTTCTCTTCATTGCGTCGGTCTCTTGATGTGGCACTAAATTTTGCTATGTGTTCTTCGTGACACTTCCTCTCGCTCTAGAATGCTCTAGTAAATGTTGACGCTAAAGTTCAGCTGAAGTGTTTAAAGTTCTTTGCAGCTAACCACAGCAACGTTTCTTTGTCTATGTGCTCAGTTGGACGCACGTTATTTGGCATGCCTTTTATAACACAAAACGTTTCTTTTTTTTTTTTCGTTTACTGAACAGTCCGGAAAAAATCGGGGACATCTGTCCCGACTGGGACAGCGCGGGCAAAGACTTGGACAGTCGAGCAAAATTCGGGACGGCTGGTAACACCAGTTTAGGCAAGTGTATAAAAATTAAAAAAAAATGTAATAAAATAGAAATTTTATTGCTGGGAGCATTGTCGAGCTTCAATTGCTAACCCGTAAAGGTCTTTTTAAAAGTTAACATTGCCGCAATACAGCACTGTCATGGGGTGAAGTGCTTGCAGTGTATTGCAGTAAAGCATACATTATGCGTGCGTGTGTGTGTGTGAAATGGAAGCGTAGCACTGCTATTAGTCCTAATGCGATGCGCCGTGTTTTGTCTCATTACTGGTCATGCGACAGACAGCATCAGCACCAACTTCAACCTTTGTAAATAGTCCATATGTTCCCCCATAATTATTTTTTTAATTGTGGCAAGTTATTCACACTGCAGTAAACTTCTAGTATATCGCATGAATAATTTAAAATTGTTGCATGGCCCCCAATAAAGAAGTGAAAAATACCTGTGACAGACTCCTTGGTACTCCAGATTTTGTGCCATCAGATATGTGCTCTAAAATGAAAATGATCATTATTAGTGAAATATATACTCAGGCTAGGTATTGGAGATGATTGTGTATGTTTTGCAAATTTCCTTTTAAAAGCTCATGCTTCACTTTATCGGGCTTTCTTTAGTTATCAAGAAAAATAGCTCCCCAAGAATGGTCTAAAATTAAACACACAGTTTGTCATGGGGCAAGTTGAGCTTAACAAGAAAATGATTTATGAAAACCATTCTGTCGCACAACTAACAGCAAGCTGGTTTCAGGAAACATGTTGACCTGAGGTGATAGCACGTGTTCACGCATCTTACAAAGGCTGCTTGTTGTTATAATGTGGCTGTGATTGGACAAATGTCTGTCATCAGGTGTGGAGATACATCGCATCTCTGATGATCAAATTTTTAAAGAATGGGTTTTCAGGGGATGCTAAAACTTTTTTGAAGGGGTGAGCATTAGAGAGCATTACTTTATTAAAGTCTCCAATTTCATTAGGTTAGCACTGTGGCTTGCAGGTATATTAAATGAGCATGGTCACTTGAGTAACACTCAGAAGTCAATAATTATAGGGTGAACAGCAAGGTATGTATGAAACAGGATTATGCAAATTGCAGAAATAGACATAATGAAGTTGTTGAGAAGACTTTGTTAACAGTACATTTACAGGCTTCATGCAGAATTTGCTTTCCAGCAGGGTGAATTTACTTTCGCTGATGCTTTCGATGGCATCATTGCAGTTCATAAGCACTGGTTTTACGGACTGCACGTGATGATCTTGTTTTTTCAAGGTTTATGTACTGATTAAAAAGTATAGGATCAAGAAACTTACATGCTGTCTTAAGGCATAGTCAGGCTCACCATAGAGGTAATTGGTGACATTTTAGTGAGTTGTATGTGGGAGGTCTGTGTACATAACATCATAGTAATCTTGCAATGCTGTAGCTTTATTTGTGTAACGAGTGAAGCTTCTTTTCCTGTTAAAAATTTCTGCCGAGCAAACAAGTGCCAACAGTAGGATTTGCCCTTGGGTAAAGCAGGTGGTATGAGTGAGCTTATTCAGAAGCCCTTCAAGAGTACCCACTGAAGGAATTAGTACCTATAGGGCAAAAATTCCAGTGCACCAAGAAGGGCAAGGGAGGACGGTGCAGGTTAACATTTCAGGAGGGTATCTCCTGGACATCATCCTTCTCTAGCCACAAGCTTGTATGGCCAATGTTTAGCAGACTCCTACTAACATAAACTAGGTATAAATGTTGCTTCTCTATTGTAAGATGACAACATATACCTTTTGAGAGTCTCCTCACCACAAGCCCTTACATTAGCCTAAAAATATTTTTTATACAGTGCCCTTTTTTTGTCCTAAACAGTTGTCTGAAGCAACAATATGCACATTGTGACAGTCTAGCTGGTGACCACAGAGATGGCTCCCGCCATCACGATGTATACTCCACTCAAAATGTAAGACACTGCAAAATCATAGTCCGGTGTGCGTACATACGACCTTGAACATGCAAGCAGTGACCACTTCTCTTGTGTTCTCTGTACTGGCGCATGCTTGTTGCACACCTGTTCAAGATTGTGACAGTGAAATTAGTTCTGGCAATGCTGTCTCAGAGGTAAGACTGTGTACACCCTTAGGAACACCATGGTGGAGCGAGCAGAGATTCATATCAAATGTAGTAATAAACTGGCAACACCATGGTGATATAAGCACACTTGCATTAATTTATTACATCTTTACTGAGGCAGACATCACACAGCTAAGCCTAGTTGTGATCTCTTTTCATTATTGTCTACATAGTTTTCCCGTTGGTCACAGCACAGGAAGAAAATTTCTCTGTGGTAGCACCATATTTTAAGCTTGCATGACTCCAATGAAGCACTGTGTGAACAGATATATTGAAAATGTCAATACTTCGGGTCCTATAAATGATGAACTGGTTGTCACATTCAGCCAGTGATCCTGCAGGAGCTTTAGCATATACTCTAAGGTCATTTTGCATCAACAATGCCACATACAATAGTTTAACAATGGTTGTTAATGGGCAAGATGATGCATAGCTTCAGGGAGGTAATTAAGCTAAGGGGGAAAATTATACATGCCTAAGCACCACTGGAAAAATGAAAAAGCACAGAAAAAGAGCATCAGTCGCAGCTGAACTACAGAAAATATTTACACTGCCCCACA